CCCCCCCCCCCAATATCCTTGCGCTAGCATTCAACTACCAACCCACCAAGACACAAGCCCACCCACCCACCCACCTGATACGTCTTAAAAGGATAACTCAACTGTGTGGCCATTTTGTAACACCTTAGTTTTTATGCGGCACCGGCCCTCGAGTGTTCATATCCTTTCGACCTACAATCACGGACAAAAGTATTTCGGAAGGTTAGTCCTCAAAAAAGAGAGTTCTGTCTTTTGCTGAATATCTCTCTTCCCTCCCTATTCATTGTCGGGATATAACGGAGCAATTACTCGCACAAACATTGACGTTTTGCTCAGTATTGGGCCAGGGGCAGGGGGAAGAGAAAGGTAAAAAGTAGCAGCCTTCCCAACACTTTTGACGATAATAATTGTAGCTTAACTGCTGCTCTTTTTTTTCAGGGTTCTCTGTGCAATGATGCCCTCACCTTGATGTTTTGTCTTGAATGCTCTCTCTGCCAGATGGACCGTGAACTCAAGGCAGTTGGAAAGTGAAGAAGCAAGCTGCGCCTTTTATATGCCGTTTGCGACTTATGCAGAATTTTAGAGTGTTCTTTTTTTCTCGTTATTAAGCAAGAAATTTTTCGAAGTTGTAGAGCAGAAGTCTCTCGATTTTTTGTTGGTTAGTGTCTCTTTGGTTTTATTTTTGATCGAGTATGGTATATATTCACGACATGATTGTCACTGTTAAGGTGTTATTAAGGCTTTTGGTATGAATCTTTGTTTTACTGGGTTAAGTTGTGTTGATGAGAAATCTCACTTTTGCATTTTATGCGTTCTCAGAGGACGTTTGTATTCAGTGCATAGTAGTAACTTCTGAGCTTAACGTACTAACGTAAATGGTTGCCCCTTTACCCGTCTAAACGGATCGTGGGGGCTCTCCCCTTTTTCAAGTGTTTGACCAGTTGCTTTTGTTGAAGTATAAAATCAGCGTGGAAAGGATCTGAAACTTTAGTTTCTATTTTGGTATCTGATAACCAAACAGTTTTTTGGTTCAATATTGACCCAGACCTCATGAAATGTTTCGGTCTGAAAATAGCCATACTGTGTCCAACACAATGGCATTTTTAGTGGTGGTCTCGGGAAATTTAAGAGCAGACAATAATAGTGTTATCCATTGCTTAACCAGTGAAAAGCAGCAAGCTAAGTTTTCTCATTTTTGAGGTTCTTCTTTGAATATCTTGTAGACGAAGTTTGAATGTAGTATCACAGGGGCACCCAATGGATCTGTTCATCAAAATATCTGTTCTTCAGGCACATTTTTGCTGGCTGGGAGATGTGGAAAAAATAGTAGTCCTTGGAAGGAAAGTGTTGCTGGGAAAAAGATAATTCAGGGTGTCAGAGGGGATTTGAAGTCTAGAATAGCTGCTATGGGTTACTTATACCACTCAAAATCTGAATTGTGCCCGATGAAACTTCCCAGTAAGTCAGGTTGCAGGTTGTAGGTGCACCTTGCTGGCTGGGAACTCTTCCATCAGTCTTGCTGGGAGTGAGGAACAGATAATTTTTTTCCAGCAATCTCCCGAAATGCTTAAAATAGTCTCAGAAAACTTTGTTCACGCTTTGTTGTTGTTTTTAGGTCTTTTTCTCAAAATTTCCCGTTGGGTGCCCCTGAGTATCAGTCTTATATCAGAAGCCGGGTGACTTTAAATGTTTGCTTGTTGAGAATAAAGAAGCATATTAACCAACAGTGGTTTCTCGGCGTCAAACCATCCTCGGAGACCCAGGGGCTGTCAGTCGGGTCGGGATAAACGGCGGCGAAAGGGATATTACTCTAAACAAACCAGCTCCACGACTTATTCGAATGCTTGTCTCTGATTGGGCAGTAAAAAGTGATTTTGTGTTAATCGGAGGCCAGCATCTATCTTGTGCTGCATTCTTGATCTTCTTTACCTGCAAACTCGACAGTTCCCTTGGTCTCCGAGGGTGGCGTCAAACCTCCCCGTCCCCCTTTCCCCCACCCCACCCTCTTCAGACATACTGTAGCCTGCAAGTTTTTTCAGGCTTTCTTTTGGCAAATGCACAAGCTGCGTCTTTAACTGAGGGGATGCTTTCTTTCTTTATTTGTTCAATTCATTCCGCGGTTGAAATATGTGAAACTTATACGACTTATAAATACACCATCTCATCAGACAATTACTTTTACGTTAAGGTGTAACTGATCGTTCTAATGAGTGTAGTTACTACTATACTTGAACTATCGTCGACTGATAACAATAGAGGACCTTAAGCAACTACGACGACAACAGGCAGTTAAAACATCACTAAAAAAATGAATTTGCGTCCTGTCAAACTTTATCGCGTTTATTTGGAACCGCTCAATTCGTCAAATGGAGGCGACTTTTCCCAGAATTGAATTCTTAAGGGCTTTATCCATTTTGAAATAGGGAAAGGAAGATTTGTCGTCGTATGTCCACGTCCGCCATATGACGTCGCATTGGGAGGTTTCACTTCGTAGTCGTGCAGTGGACGTCGAAGAAATGTACTAAAAAGCGTCTGTTGTTTTGCTAATAAAACCAATTGTTTTTTTGACGTTGTTGTTGTCTTCGTCGCCTTAGTTGCTTAAGGTCCCTAATGATGTGCGGTTTCCAGTTCTCTACGGAGTGAGATGTATATGTTCTACCTTTTCTTGAAAGGCTTATTGGGTGGTTTACAACCCAAGAGGTACCAAATGGCACCGAAGGATCCCGTGAAGATTTATAACAGGAAAATTACAGAGCCCAGGGAGGTCTTAAAATATGACCCACCTCTATAATTTCCGTGAAAAAAACTTCTACGTATGGTATCATCTTCCTCTAATGGAAGAATTGCCTGCTCATAAATATCGCGTCCTCGACGATTAGCAGGCCAAGTGTCCACCAAGGGTTCCACATGTCTGGGGGACGGGCCTACGTCTTTATGTCGAAGTGATATAGGACTGGGACTGGGACTAGCTAAATGAATGCCCGCCAAAAAAAGAACGTGCCAAGTTGTCCGCCATATTTTGTAAACGTGTTTGTCTTGCGGAAATTTCTCAGATTCTTTTTAAATTTGTATTTCGTCTATTCGCTGACCCATTTGTCAGTTAAGGTAGGTGCAATGATTACTTTCTTTTGTCTCTCATTACGAAAAATTAATTGCAGTTCTGCCGGTTTAAGCCCTATTTCATAAACATGACCAGCCGAAGTAAGCTTTCTTTCACAGCTACGGAGAAATTTTCCTTTGCAATTGTTTGGCTCCTCTCAATGTTTTTCTATTGTTTTGATGTTATCAGCCCGTTTAGATTAAAAGGTTTAGCTGCCAAAATTTGTTTTTGATAACTCTTGTGTGTATCTAATTCAGTTTGGAGATTTATAAATTAATTAGTGTAAGCTTATATATTTCTTTCACTACTTTTTCTCTTCATGTGCAGTTTAGGCGCTCCTCATTCATTCAACAACATTGTTTTCTTCAGTTTACGTAAAGTTAAGGAAAGATTAATTAATTCTATATAAACTTTTGTTTTTCAAATAATATCGAGTTTCGTGAAACGTTTTGATAATACGAGGCCAGCATTCTAGGCCGCTGAGCGAGGTTTTTCCAAGTGAAACAAAAATTTGTTTTCAGTGTTGTTTTGATTTTGTTTTGAACTTTGCCACATAGATGTAAGCTTACTTTATGTTTCTGTAAATTTGCTTGTCTTGGCTATACTGTTAGTATACTTACAGTCATCATAAATACCCCTTCTCAGCATGACACAGGTTATGACAATTCAACCAACAACGCAGTCCCCCACGAGGGAGTGGAATTCTGGCTTGTTTGCCTGTTTCAATGATATTCAAAGCTGTAAGTTAGCCTTGTTTTTATACAAACAGTCTTGCTATCTGTCCATTTATAATTGGTAATGTTGACTGACAAATGCACTGGCTAAAGCTTAAAGACTGTATATAGGCGGATTCATGATGACGTCATTTGCTTACATTTTTTCTCATTAGCATACGAGTTAACCCATAAAAGATGTAGCCGTATATACTGATTAGGTTCAAAACTTAAAAGACCTGGTTAGTTTATGCAGTTTGTGCAACTTTCAGCTCTTTGCAATCAGTAACAAAGAAAATAGCAGCAATTAAATTACTGGATGGCAAAACGTTAATGAGCTCATACATCTTTATAAATTTTGAGGTTTTTCAAAGAGAATTTCTCCGAAATTATTAGGTATATCCGGCTCAAATTTCAGAGATAACTGAAACTGCTATGCCCTTTCAATATTCAGAGATTTCAATTTATTAGCTTCATCAGATAACGATAAGCCTATGCTAATGAGGCAAAAAAATGTAAACAATGATTCCCTTGTAGGTACAGTCAAGATGTAAGATGGACACCTTCGGGACCGGCCCCGACTGCCCGTTTTAGAGTAGTTGGTTGACTGTACCGTTGATTTGACATGTAAGAATCTTAACTGCTAAAAATTGTATAGGATAAAGACTAGTAAAACAAGGGATTCCACTTTATTAATGGCCCAGAAATCTGTCCTCAATTGTTCATTCTTCTAATATCTTCGGATGGTTTTGCAAATTTGCTTTAACATATTTAATCTTTTTGTAGTTTCTTCATGCAATGTTAAGTGAGTTTTTTAAAATTAAATTTGTTGTATGTATTGTTTTTTCTTTCTATCCTCGGCAAGGTCTGTGTGGTTTGTTTTGTCCAATGTGTTTGTTATGCGACATCTCCGGTCGAATGGGGGAAGGATGTGCTTATGCAAGCTGCTGCTATGAAGTTGCACCATTAACACTCAGGGCCAAACTTAGAGCTGAACAGAGAATTCAGGTCAGAAATAGCTTTGCAGCTACCTGTACTCCAGTGATCCAGGATTAGGGTTGGGGAAGGGGGGGGGGGGGGGGCAAACCTTTTTTTAGGAAAGGGAGGGTTTTAAAAAGGGGGGGGGCCGGGGGTGTTTTCAACTTTTTGGTTTAAAAGGGTGGGGCCCCCCCTTTCCTGAAATGTGTTTATCCACGACCCTCAAAAAACAACCCCCAAAAAACATTTCCCCCCCCCCTGGGGGGGGGGGGCGCAACACTTTATCTAGGAAAGGTACGTTTTTAATAAGGAGGTGGGCCGGAGTGTTTTCGAACTTTTTGGCTTAAAAGGTCGTGGCCCTCCATTTCCTGAAATGGTTTGATCCACGACCCTTCACAAACAACCGCTCAAAATCATTTCACCCTCCCCCACCTATTCAACACAAGAAGAAGCGGAAGTGAAAATAACTAACCGGAAAAACTAGACTGTCCTCCGGGACAAAACAAACAGCTGAAATAAAGTGGCCGTTGTAGAGAGGTGGAATTTGCTGGAGGTTCGACTGAACAATCGAAAGAGTTTTGTTCACGGGCGTAGGTATTTCCCAAAGCTAGCTAGAAAAATTTGAGAGCTTCTATTGAGATGATGTGATAGATCGAGTTGATCAAGTTGTCGCCGTAGCTTTAGCAAATCATCACCGGAGACTAATTTTATACCAGAACCCTGAGCAAAAACATTACCATGGTAAAAATATGGACGAAAGCGGTCAGAGGTTGAGAGAGACGATTATGTTAGTTGGAAGAAGATAGTAGTATTTTAATTGCATTTTTGATGTCAGCAAATAATTTGGATTCATCTTGACTGGTAGCTCTGCTTGTACGTACAAGTTTTAATTTTCGAAAGACTTTTGAATGTTTACTAACAAATAAAACTAGAGTTGACTTTAAAAAGCGCGACTTGTAGTATTTTTTCCCTTGCCGAAAAAAGTGTGATGCTCCCGTGGTTGCGAACAAAACAGGTTTGGCCCTCCCCAATTTAAAAACATTTCGTTTCACTGGCAACCCTCCCTTCCAAAGCTCCGGCCCTCCCCCACCCCCCGTCCCCCAATCAAAAACGTACCTTCCCCTAAAACCAGTAAATTCAATCTAAAGCTTCACGCAAACGGACACAACATTGTTGGATGTTACATTTTGTGTCCCTTTGCACACCCTGTTGCATGTTTTTGGATGTTCTTGAGCAAAGTTTGAAACCGCACACTTTTAGCCCCGAGCAAACGGACGCAAAATTGTTGGGACGTTTGCACGTACAGTAGCTTAAAGATTGGAGTTACAGTTTTGAATTTAAAACTACTGTTTGTCAGCTTGAACAATTATCTGTTCTCTTTTCTCCAAAGAGATTTTTTTTCAAGTGTGCTGTTAAATAATATTAAAGTCAATACTAAGAGGCAAAGATCCTCATTTTTTATGTCGGTAACTTGTAACATGTACTCATTAGCTGGCATGACAACGTTTAGAACGATGTTGGCTCATTTTATCGCTGTCTTTCTACCGGTACTCCATTTTACGGGTGTTTAAAGCCATATAAGGCTACACGGAAAGGAAAGAAGTCTAAACGCAGGATTTGAGTGCAGAAACCACACCTGGCATGGAATAGAACTCGGAACCGCCCCCACAGAAGGCCGCGCTCTATTCGACCTAATCCTTCTTCCTGAAATACTTTTAAGTAAAATTTTAAAAAATTATCAAAAAGTGTCCCTTTTGTCGGAGAATAGCATGTTTGGCAAATGCCATAGAGATCACTGTAGTAATTGTGGTATTCAAGTCTTACCTTTTATCAAGAGAGAATGATCTCTCTTGCTTTTATCTTTTATTCCAGCTTGGGAAGCTTTTTACTCTTTATTATGAAAGAAACAATAGCAGTAGCTGTTTGAGAAGACGGTTGTTAAAGACAGTTTTTAAAGAAACTATGACTTAATTTTCAGGGCTCCCTGTGCAATGACGCTGTTGTTGTTACATTCTGTGGTACCTGCGTTTTGTGTCAGATGGACCGTGAACTCAAAGCCATCGGAAAATGATCTGCAGTTTCAAGAAAAACAGTTCCTGTTTTTATCGTTGTTACAATCTGTTGGAGAAATCCGCGTCCTTTTTGCGGCTTTACGATTGAACATAAACTTAAGATTTGGAGACTCTTAAAAGTGTCATGGTTTCTTCAAGTTTGGAATAAAATTCCCGTTCAGCCCATAAGTGACGTCGATACTGTGTGTGCTTTGGTTGGATTATTTTGTAAGCGAGTTAATATTCACTCATTATGGTTCGGCGCTATAGCATAGTGAGATTAATTACGACGATTGGTAACCCTCTATGTTTTTATTATTATTCCATTTTATGGTTTCTTCCAGTTTTTGCTGAGAAATTTGACTAACAAGAACTTTATGTCTGTTCAGTTCCAGATGAATATTAAGAATGTTCAGAGTCTAATAATTAATTCTAAAAAATGCTTAAACAGCATGTTGACTTTACTCTGACAAGGTAATGAGTTGGCAAACCGAGCGGTACAGTTCTTAGAAACAAGGTTTAAAACAGGGGATCAGCCCTTTCCCCTACTCTACTTTACAAATCTTGCATCATTTTGGTTCCATTTGTTAAAAAAAAAATTAATTAAATAAATTGAATTACAAATTAACGTTTAACACTATTTAATTTAAAGGCATTTTTAAATAAATCTATCTAAATCCGTAATTCAGTATTTTGAAACGTGTTCAGAGAGGTCTCGGAGGCGAAATGGGGAAAAAGAAGCGAAAAGTAACCCCAAAAAGTTACAGTACACACTACCATGTTGGTGTAGCATACTGAGGAGTTCTAACAAGAGAAAAAGACCTGAAAAAGGGTTGGTAGAAATTATTTATGTTGATGCAATTTACTTTTACCAACAAACTCGACAAATCAATATTCCAGGTACTGCGGTCTATAGTTATACTATATTTCTGGCCTCCCCTGAATCGATCGACTTAATTTAACTTATTCCACTTACTATACAAATAAATATAAAACCGTCTTTAGTACACAGGGGTTCCTTAGCTTTAATCCACGTCCTCTAACAATAAATAAATAAATTAAGTAACGAAATAGGATTCATCCAGACGCAAGCTAGCCGGGAACCCGGGGTCAATTTGATAAAACTTTTATAAGTGTAATTTTCAAGTGTACCTATTGTTTTCAGAGTCTAAAACAATGGCTACACTTGTAAATTACATTTGTAAAAATATTTATTAAATTGACCCCTGCTCAGTCCTGTTTACACTCTGTACACTTGAAATTTATTCTATAATTATAACCTTCGTTTTCGGTGAAAACTTTGCTTTCTTGCTTTTTTTCTGCGGCACGAATTTTCGATACTGGAAGCATTTTTTATAATAACATAAAGTCACTATGAGAATAACGGCCAGAGCAAAGAGAATTACTGAAACTACGCTATAAACAACCTTGGCATCTACTAAACCCATGGTATCAGCTGGAATTGAAATTCCCGTAGTTGCAATTTCTGTCTTATCCGTGTGCGGCTTCATCGTAATAGACAGCATTGTTTTAATAGCTTCCGTTGTCTTGGATGTCGGTTTTCCAGGCAACTTTTCGTTACAAGAAACTCCAGCCCACGGATCGAAGCAATGACATTTACCGACATTGTTACACAAGCCGTGTCCCGAGCAGTCATTAGGACATCGAGTTGTCTTTTTTAGAAGCACGTCCAAGGACACGCATCTTCGGTTCAAGCAAAGTTTTTCGTCACCGCATTTGGTTCCTTCGAGTGTCATCGCAGCCTCAGGAACGTCAAGACCCATCTTTAAGCTGGTTCCTTTACAAGTGATTGTTTCATTGCCCAAGGGCCAAAATGAACTCAACACATCTCGTTGAATCCCTATGACAGGTCGCTTACCAGTTGTGAGACACCATAATTTGCCGCATTTCGCGTCCTGAAGCTTGCATGGTCGGTATTTTCCTCTCCTCGTCTTTCGGCAATGGCCAAACTTATCGGCACGAGTGTTGTGATATCGATAACATTTATCTGGGCCTGGTAAGGCATCACTACCCCATAGGTCCCGACATTGCTTTTCATGGGTCTGACATTCTCCAAGAAAACAGTAGGCTGTATTTTTAGCACAAGGGTAGCCATTATGCACGTTCAGATCCTCAGAACAAATTCCGGAAGATCCAGTACAAGTTTCCGGGATGTCGCATTCATTCACTTTCTCTCGGCAAATCGCTCCCCTCTTTTTAAATTTGCAGTCTTCACAGCAGGCGCCATTAGCACATTGCGCATGTGCGTTCAGTTTGCAGGTCACATGGTCACAACAAATGTCCCCTTTCTCTAAGCATTCTTGCGCGGTTCCACAATCACATTCCTCGCCGGGTGCTAGGATACCATCCCCGCAAACTGGACCTCCAAATAAGGTGTCTGGGACGTTGAAGAGACATGTGCCAAGTCCTCGGGACAATCCCTCGTTAAGCCCTTTCACGCTACAGTTGCTGAAGATCGTGGCTGGCTCGGGACCCACTCGCGCGCTCATCACGCACCCACTAAGCGAGTTGGTCGCGCCACACACGCAATGAGGTAAATCCTCATCGTGATACATGCCGAAAATGTGCCCAAGCTCATGGGCAAACGTGTTAGCAGTAAACGCAGCGTTGATATTGTAATCACGAATCACACCCGCCGACTTTCGTGAGCAAATGGACATAACCTGTGCTTTCCCGCGCACAGAATCCTTCAGCTTAACACCCGTCAAAAGCAGCGCAACATCATTCGGATGCTTTTCACGTAGTTCTCTTTTTCTGTATTTTATAAAGTTTGACAAATATGTATCCGTATCTTCGTCCGCCTTTACCATGTCCGCCACGTCCCAGGTTTCTATGGCCACTAACGTAACACGCACATTAAGGGGTTTGAACATCGCATCCACCATGTTGACTATCTGCTTGGCGCGCAAATTGGTTTTAGTAAGGTTTTTACCAGAAGCTTCAAACTGCTTGTGATCATTAATTACAACTATCTCAACATACTTTGTTTCGGTGAAGACATCTCGACGAACTCTTCTATGAGCTTTAAATCTGGACGAACTATTGTAGAGTTGCCATTGGCTATTTATCACTTCTAAATCATCCTTTTTTAAGCTTTGTTCAGTTAAATCAAATTCACTGACACTGAGATCTTTGATTCTGTAATACAAATGGATTTGGCTGTCTGACAAGTCCCGGTGTGGTTCTATATAGTAAGATATGTGCCCATCGTAAATCAGGCCTTCAATTCCATCACAAGTACTTAAGGACACCTTCGACCTTTCACTACCCCTGACGGTACCGTGGTAAAAGCAGTGATTGGCGCCCTCGTTAAAGCGTTCTTCTTTTTCCGTGTAATGCGAAGTAAAAAGTCCGCGGTTTTGATACAAGTCCAGCGTAAATTTTCGTTGAAAGGCTGTAAATGTTATCTCTACTTTTATACTCGAGGCTTCGCTCTGGAAAATAAAGAATAATTCACAAATTTAGCTGACATTAATTCAAAAAGTAAGCTGCCGCCGTTTTCAAAAAGCTTATTGGTTGCTGACTGAGTTACAGAAATGCATGTACAGAAGTGTGGGCCTCTGTATGGGTATTTCCCACGAAATCGAACGACGGCACTATTGATGCAGCGACGATCGTAGAGGTCAAGGCGACGATCGTATTGGCATTCCAATCAATTGACAACGTTAGTCTTGCAGTGACGACAAAGAATCTGCCAAAAAGCGGCTGCATGTTCAGAGTTTTTGTTTTACTTATTCAGTAACCTGTTGTTCTGATTTATTATTGTTTTCGTTTTCCGTCATCGCTGTGGTTGGGCTGAGCTCCTCTTCACTCTCAAAGTAATTTTCAAGGAGTTATAATAATCCTCCAGTTGGGTTAGTTTAACTCCTTACAGCGAAGTTATTTTTTGGGGAGTTATTTAACTCCAAAAAGGAGTTTGAAGAACTCCTTTTCAGGAGTAAAAATGACCCCAGATATTGAGGAGTTAAAATAACCCCCAAAAAGGAGTTATCCTGTACCTAAAATTTTTACTCCCCTTTCAGAGTTAAAGTAACTCCAAAAAGAGTAAAATCAACCCATGTAAGGAGTGAAAATAGCCCCATTTTCCGAGTTATTTTAACTCCAGACAGGAGCCGATTACTAAGTAATCGGCTCCTGTTCCAGACTGGGAGTAAAAAGGACTTTTTTTCAGGAGTAAAAATGACCCCAAATTTGGAGTTAAATTAGGAGTAAAGCCTCCAAAAAAGGGGTTATCCTGTAACTAAAATTTTTACTCCATTTGTGGAGTTATAATAACTCCCTAAAATTTACTGTGTGAGTAGCGCTACCACGCAAAACGATTCTTGATATGTGACGATTTCGCCTAAAAGCCGACGATTTGATGGGAAACGCGCAACGAAATCGACGTGCGCAGGTACCCATACAGAGGCTTAGGTGTGGCTCACTCACTTACCAAATGCTCTGAAGCATGTTTTAAAAAAACACTGCGCTGTCGTTTAAATGCCTGATAGCCAGACTCAGTAGTAATGATTACTTGACTCAAATAACAAGCGAAATTCAACAAACAAAACTACTTAATGAAAGATGAAGGAACACTTGAAACATGTTGTTTATGAAAAGCATAAGTGAAAAGTTTCCCTAGTGTCTACGCTGGGAAACATAACGTTGCATTAGTGATTATCATTTTTTAATATAGAAGTCAGGGCCGAGTTGTTCAAAGCTACAGTTGTAGGTTAAGATAACTGGCAGGGTTAGTGCGAGATTTGAATTCACATTTGAAAGCTTAAAAAGCATTTCAGTTTTAATTCTTTTTGTCTACAAGTTGATGATTGGGAGCTCTTAAAATAACCGAGAAAATTACCCGAGAAAATGCTTTTGAACACAAGAAAAGAAAACCAGGGTTAAATTTAACGCAGGGTTAAGCGCTAATCGGCCTTCGAACAACTGGACCCAGTTCGGTAGCTAAGGGTCATGACAGTTAGAGCACAGAATTGCGGTTTTTTAAAATATAGGTTAAAAGACTGTATGTAACTTTTAAAAACCTATAAAATCTGTCAATGCCAACCCGTGCTGTTTATTTTGATATACAAGGTGCTTCTAGCATTGAGCCTAATTGTTTTTTCCTGTGGTCCTGTTTGTTACTGATTACACCACAGAATTCGAAGGTGTTTCTAAAATTAGATAGATAGCTTTATTGAGTATATGTGACAAATCCTGAACCGTGACTATTCAAATACAGGCTTCTTTTTAAATACTGAGCAGGAGTTTCTGATGATGATGGGGCTTAATTGTGGTATTGTTTATTTTATGCTGTATATAAAACATTTGCGACGATGGATGAAATGATGTACAGGTGTAGCGTGACCGTTCAAGACAGTACTTGTCTTGTAAACTTCTTATAAAGGACTATAGAGAACTGATTTCGTGTGGTGCTATCTTAATCATACAGTTCAAGATGTTGGGTGCTTCCAATTCCTGTGTTTTTCACCCATGAAACCCAGCATAAAGCTTGACCGATGTAAATCAAAGCTCACATAATGTGTTTTCCTTACTTTTTGATGGAATTAAATGTTAGTTCGTAATATGTCTTTTTCCACTTTTCGCAACTATTAAAAATAATGTTACGCCAAAAAAAAAATTGCTTAATGATCTTACTAAGAAACCCGCCTCTCTCTGATTGGCTGTCTCAAGTGCTGAAAATAATATCGTAGCTCAATAATTTTCGGAAACACTAATTCCACTTGTGGTTATAAAAATATTTATTTTTCGATGGTCTTAAAATCACTTCGTACTAATCATACAATATAAGAAAAGACTTTTAGTTATTTAACCAAGCATACTTAGTATACTAGCCTATAGCATTCCCTGTAACTATTAAACGCTGAATGGATCGGTTTATTTACACAGACTTAAGCTCGTTCTTAGACGATGCATAATGTAAACAAATCTATTTTATAACTATTAAGACCTCCAGCTGAGTGGCTAGAGTTATAAATTGCATCTCTATCAGTTGGTCCGTTCTGTTTTTGCAAATTACTCTTTCGCTCATGTACTTTGCTTAATGAAAGTAAACATGTTTAATGTGACTGAATTCACGAAAACAAACAATAAAACTCTTTGATGTGTCATTTCTGTTCTTTCAGCGACTAGCAAGTGTCAGAGAAGTACATCCGGTTAAATAAAACGCTTGGCCAATCGTATTATGAATATTTTATAGCACTCTCTGGCTACTCCATACCGGTTGAATTCATGTTTCATCTCTTCCTTTTTATTTAAAAAAAAGGTTTTTGTTTACACAGAACAAAATTATAATTAACGAATTCGTATTCAAAGTAACATCAAACTTTTGCAAAATTCCATTTGCAATTTTATTCAGTTTTCCACAGCTTTCAGAAGGGCTCCAGGGGCCGGCGAAACTCATAAATCGCGTGGATGGATCTCAGTTGCATGCACAAGTTGCATAGTAAATATTATTGTTTTCGCTGACGAGGGATATTATACTTGTCACGACCGAACAAAACTGATACTTCTCGCGAATCCTAAATGAAAACGTGAACATCACTAACAGACGCGTGAACGGAATACTCGTCTGGTTTTCTAGGTTGAAGTAACCCCCCATAAACCAGGCCGGGGGTGTAAACAGGATTAACGAACGTGATTCAGATCTTGCTTAATGGCATAAAGTAGGCAAGGTCTATCTATTACGTTCAAATCTATAGTTTGTAAAGATCAGCTCTCAAGTACTTACTCTTTGATTTGCTTCATCCAAATGTCGTCGATTCCAGTTCTTGGTTTTTCCGGATTTGATGTATTTTAACCGGGGCATAACGAATTGAAAATCTAACCGATCTAGTTTCGTGAAGGCCAATCCGTCAGACAGCCAGCTGCGGTTAACGCTGCTCTTCTCAAAACTAATCGTGGAGTGTATGACCAAAAACTGAAGCACCCACAGCGGAAACAAAACCACTGTTACATCCATTCGAGAATCGCTTCTTCGACGTTGATCCCTCTCTCATAAACAAATGTGTTTACTGAAGAGAATCGATGAAGGTCAAAAACCCGCGACTGAACTAGAGTCATATGCAGAAATGTGAATGCTGCCTGTTATATACTCGTCAGCTGCAAAGTATCTTTCGTAATGTGAAACGAGCAGCTCAATATGGTCTCTTTCAGATCGCGGACTTAGCGAAACAGTCATCCCTTCTTACGTTTCAAACTTGAAAATTCCATTTATGAATCGTCTGATTCGCTGGCCGGAAATTGTTGACAAAAAAATGTTCTCCTCACGCGCCAGTCACCGTCCTTCGCTGCCTTATGACCTGATTTAATAGGACATAAATTCAAATTTTTAAAAGCTTGTTGTAGGCGGCTTGCTATTAATTAGGCTGCCTAATCACTTTCACATAATGAACATGCCACTCCAGTAGCATCGGCGAAAGAACTGGAACAAATTAGTGAGATAAAAAAGGACAAAGCTGTTGTTATAGATGACCAAGAGTCAGATCCGAAAGCTGAAAATCGACTGTGAAACTAGTGCCGATTTAGCGATAAAAACTGTTTCATCTTCTGTTTGTTTATATTCTTCCGTTGGTAATTGGTTTGCACTTAATCTTCTTATTGTCTTAGGAGCCCAGAAAGAACAGTATGCTAATATAATAAAAGGGAACAACGTTTTATTTAATGGAATCAGCTCTGACTTAGAAGTTTACATTAAAGTTTACATCTTTTTGTCAGTGACTTTCGATCAGATTCTTATCTTGATGATATAGACACCTTGAACAATCCATTAAAGAGGAACATGCTGTGCCAACGATCTGTCACACGCAGCTCACTGAAAATGTCTAATTATTTGCTCACTTAGTCGTAATAGAGCCATTGTTGTTTTGTTTTTAAAATTACGGGTAGCAAATTCCGCCGATTGTACAAACCGCATTCATTCTTCAGGAAGCTGATGTGGCACTACCAAGTTCATAAAAGGATCTACATAAAATTTTCATAGTTTCCCGGGCTTAACTTTGGCTGATGCGATAGATTTTTTTTGCTTTTTCACTTCACATTTTCCTAACATAGCTTTCTTTGTAGACGGAAATAGGTGCACTAAATTATCCGGTTCCCGCTTAGAATATTATTTAATGTTACTACTTCCACATTTTTTGCTTTCTTCACAAGTTTCGCCCCTGATCTCGTGCGAAATAACCACAATTCAGCTTTCAAACGATGAGCCTTATTTCATTTCCGTTAGGATAATAGCGTACACTGGAGCTCTCCGCAACGTCTATTTGCAATGGGCGACAGAGTGCGAAGGCTATTATAGAAACTGGACCGCCATATTGGAAGTAGACACCATTTTTGGCGCTTGGCAAAGTAAAGACAAAACACAGCGAGAATCACCGGGGTCAAGACGATAAAATGTATTTTTTTAAAATGCTTTATATTAGTAGACCTTATTAAGGTATCCGATGAAACATTTACCAAATCTTAAGTATAAGAGATTTATCAAAACAAAACGAGTCAAGTAACAGTTTGTACATTAGTTTGTAAATTGATCTTCCTCAAGTTAAAAGTCTGTGAAAAAGTTCGGTTGTATGTCAGTGGCGCACTCTACTGAAAGTCGGTCTGGCTTTACAGTTCAGGAGATGTTGTTGTGGGTTAAAAAAAAAAAAAAACGGAGAGAATGTAAGGACTGACCGTGGTAGAAAGGTGGCCGTTAGTAGAAGTTCGATGGTATTATTCTATATCACAGTTACACTCAGAGAAGCATGGCTACGAGTGCAAATATTCAGCATAGTTTAGTCGCGCGCATAAGTGTTACGGCCGCAATTGCTTCCCGGTTGTTCGGAAATGCTTTTAAATCGGTCAAAATATTCTTGCGTCCAGGACAAAAATTTCATGCGCAGCGCAACAAATGTTTCATTTTTTAATCACATTAAAAGAAACGGTGTTTCCGCAGCAACACTTTCTAGTTAGTGATCATGCCAGAGAGCACAAGCACCCACCACCATCCCACTTCATTCATCGGGATCATTCCAATTCATTAAATTTCTCAAACTTGGCCCGGATGAGCACTTTCTTGAGACTGGAGTAGGCACATTGAAGCATTCAGGACAGGGGGAAAAAAAACAACGAAGAAAGAAAATTTACCGCCCTGTCACATAATGGGACGTCGCATTTTTTATTTCAATTTATCAATTAATTTTATTTCAATAAATTATTTTAACCAAGTAATTTTTTTCTTGAGCACTCGCAGAGTCGAACATAGTTGTGCTGTAAACTTCTTGCTCGATTTAGACGAGAAAAAGCTGACCCTCTTTAGAGTAAATGATGTTGCATTAAATCATGGTTTTAGCCTTTTTTGACCTTTTCGACTGAGAATCACTGGAATGTAGAGCGAATATTTAGCATGAAATGAAGCATTTTTTAGATCCTTCTTCGCGTAGGTGCACTGACTTGGTTACCGATAACATACAAAGTGATTCCGGTATTATTACCTTCTGGTCATTAAAGACGTTTTTATCTTTCGTTTATGGAGAAAAACCTTTGTCCTGCGACATATTCCAATCTGAGTGTGTACGTGTGAGGATGATTAACTGCTTCAACAGCTAATTGAATTACCCCATGCAACGCTTTGACTGAAGAGCTTAAAAATGTATCAGAAAGTCAGCGACAAGAGAGAAGAAAGATGAATAGCCACTCAATTTCGTCTATATTTGATAGAAGGATTGTTTTATCTGATCGATCCATATTTGCTTGGCAAAGTGTCTGTGCAATTGCCATCAGTAGGCTTGTCTGGGCTAGCCATCCGTTAGATTGTCCATCAAGCTTACAATATCGAATCCGTTTAAAAAACCTTCCTAGCTTGGCCAGCAAAATGATTTCGTTCATTCGATATGAAAAACGTGGGAAAAATGCATCAAATTATTTGGTGCTCAGATGTTACGCGGGAATTCAAGCCCAAAGATGACAAAGATCTTTTGAAATACTTCTTATCACTTTTACGAGATGTGAAATTTACTTTATTGGTTTACGATCAATATAAGCGTGCGTATTAATAACCTTAAGTACCATCTAGAGCCCCTTATAATCCGTCTATTATCGCGTGCTTATGGTTTAATATACATGACACGCCTCCGCATTTCCTAAATGTCCCCTAGAAGTGTCTTTCTTGTTCGAAAGGGATTACTAATTTTTCCAAGTTTACGAACTACACACTTCCCTCCTATCCATCGGGACAAGATGAAAGATAGATTTCTTTTATTTAAGTGGTAACTGCAATTTAAGGAGTCTCTATGGTCTGAAAAGCGTACCTGCGATTGTACAGTATATCGCGTGTCATACTACAGTATATGTTTCATAGCTGTCATAGTTAAGCAGGCTCATAACGGAATGGTTCTCAACTTCAGACAGGAAAATGGCTTAGTTCAGACGTGAAGCTTTTTTTCTTTTCTTTTTTTTTCCTTTACTCCTCCAGCGATACTTAATGATCAATAATTCTTGTCCGGTCCAGTTTCAGTGCAAATAACTCGATCATGTATTTTGGCCTCAAAACTGCAGTTCTGGTATTGCGGACATTGTATAAGCTATCCGTAAAATCTCGCGTGCGTGCAGACGAGGGCTTATCTTTCACTATAAGTGCCACTTATGAACAGTTCAATTTTTTCTTAAAATTGTAATCTTCCCCGGAGAACCCCACGGATATCGGCAAGCTAGTCCAGTTTGTTTTTGTCCCGGTGGAGGGGAATTGTGCCAAGAGTACCGGCGGGGATAGGAAGGAGACTCTTCTCAGTTCCCGGCCGTGTTCAGGTAAGAAGAGTAGCACGGATACCAGGAATTTGCGACCGAATAGTTGGAAAATGTTATAAACTCTCGAAATTGAAATCCGTATTCGTAGCTGCGTTTATTTATATAGAGGGTTGTTTGTCAAAACTTCATGTCGTAGTAAATCACAGAATAAAATACATGTTATCCGTATTAACACAAAAAAGCTTATTTGAGGTCGTTGAGGAAGAGTCCCGAAGGTAGAGAATAGCAAAATTTCGTGAGAATTCTCTGCCTATCCGTCTCAAATTTGTTGCTCATATGAGCCACCGTAGACAATACGGTTTCAATGTGCCTGATCTAGCTGGATTTTTGAAAACGTTGCTGAAAAGCTAGGTAGCCAATGCAGCCCTAGTTTTTTTTTCTTCTCCAACCTTAGTCCAAGGATTTTGCCTTCGAAAAATGGGAGTAAAGCCCTGGGCCGAGGTTGTTCTCTTCTCTCCTCCCTTTCATTTTCTCGCTCTTTCCATTTTTCTTTGCTCCTTTGTTAATGTGATTTTTGGCCTTTTCATCGGACGCAAAAAACTGCCTTTTGGCCATTTTCCAATCAATTGGCAGGCAAATTTTTCTAAGTTCGTCTTCAAAAATCCAGTTAGATATAAATTAAATTACCGTAGAAATACCACAATCAAAGCCGTGTACAACTATTTCATAAAGAGAAGTCTTTGTGTTGTTTTCTTATTACAGTAAGTTTCCGCCCTATGAACGCCATTTGAGCATGTTTCGTGGTGAGAACTGCCAGAACATCAAAACATGCTCAAATGGCGTTCATAGAGCAGAAGACAATAAGAAAACATCACAAAGACATCTTTTATGATGTTTTATTAGACTCGAGGTCGATCTGTTGGAAGCTTGGTTGCCCTGTGGAAATACCCTTGCGGGCATAAGGTCCCTCTGATCTCGAGTAAGAAGCCCGAGGATCTCAAATCCTTATGGAGTCAATGGAAGAATGGTGTTTGAACGTGACCAGGGGTGATTACCATTTGAAAGAAAAATCCGGTTGGGTTGTTGAAAGCATGATGGTAAGCGACTTACCAATTTACCGCACAATTGCAACATCCGTTGCGGTTTGAATGCAAAAAAGGGCGAATTTGTGTGTAGCGTGAGTCTGGAACCGAGAGGGAACCGAGAAATTGATAAATGGTAAGCAACATTCCGTTTGGTTCGTACCAACCGAAATGAATGGACTACCTCAAAACGTACTCCTCAATTTTCGGTTGGAATTTTCGAAAATTGAATTTACCATTTACCTCTCATCCGGAATTTCCGAAATTTTCTGTCAAATGGTAAGCAGCCCAGAAATCAACCAAGAAGTGCACTCAGTTCCCCCCGCCCCGGGATTCAGATTTGATGCAAGAAGTCGTGTGCCACTCATCTTTTCGAATCGTTCATTGGTTGCCCTTGAATGCATCACTTGAATAGCGGGGTTGTCAAAGCCGTGATTGGGTAAAACAAAAGAGCAATTGCGGCAAATTAGCAAAGTGATCATATTCCTAAACCGACTAAATCCAGCATGATCAGGAAGGAGTCAGGAAACCGAATAAATTTCGTGCGAAAATGGACGACGTCGAATGCAGGGAATGCTTTCCCGCTTAAAATTTTTCCACAAGAAGTATGATGGAATGCGGGACTTCTGCTGACGCCGCATGGCTTTCGATCATATCGGTGTTAGTGGCTTTCCAGGTGGGCAGCTATTCTAATTAATTTTATTATTTTGCCTTTATAAACGAACAAACCGTAATAGTTTCTGTCACGGATACGCTCATTACAGATTCAAAAGA